TGTTGGTCAAGTATAATCAGAGCATAGTACATATGCAGATTTTTAAAAAAACTATGACACATATTTCTTAACTTGCTTAGGCTCAGACATTGACGAAGATTCATCACAAGAATCTTATCTCCTTAATTGGTTACTGCAAAGATGGAAAGTATTTGGCACTTGTCTACGAGCATATGTCTGAAGGAAACCTCGAAGATAAACTCAGAGAGGTGTGCTAGTCCATCTTTGGGAAGAGCATTAGGACAATTTCCAAAAAAAGAGAGCATTAGGAATCTCTATGTCAAGTTACACAATACTAACGTTAGTCGCACTTTTGCAGGGAAAGACAGCAATGTTGTACCCTTAGCCTGGAGGCAGAGGCTCCGTATTGCACTAGAATCTGCAGAAGGTATATATTTTCTTCTAATTTGGGATCTGGGTCATTATTCATATTGCTACTAATATCTATGTTTCGTTAGAACCTTACATATGTTAATGTGTGATTTGTTATGTCACTATCAACAATATGGTGTGCATGCAGGGCTCGACTATCTACACAAGGCGTGCAGCCCACCCTTCGTGCATCGTGATGTGAAGACATCAAACATCCTACTGAATGCAAATCTTGAGGCCAAAGTTGCTGACTTTGGCTTGATGAAGGCCTTCAATCACGACGATGATACCCACGTATCCACGGCGCGGGTTATTGGCACAAGAGGCTACCTTGCACCTGAGTAAATAAAAACCTAGCTTATTACCATCTTTTAGTGGCCTACAAGTACATGTCATCTGTAATGCAAATGCATCTCATGCATGCAGGTACGCAATAGCCCTACAACTGAATGAAAAAAGTGATGTGTATAGCTTCGGCATCGTACTACTAGAGGTGATCACAGGGCGTCCAGCCATCCAACAATCTGATGAGGTCATCCACATCATCCACTGGACACGACTACACCTCAAAGGAGGCAACATTGAGGAAGTGGTCGACACACGCATGCAATGTGACTACAACATCAATGGTGTGTGGAAGGCCCTGGATCTCGCACTCAAGTGCACTGACCATGCTCCAGCGCAGCGTCCAACAATGACTAATGTGGCGGCCCAGTTACAATATTGCCTCGATCTAGAGGGTGAAGACCACACCAGATAAAACCCTAAGGGTAGCTTCTACATGACAGCCAATTGCAATGGTGCCCGTGGTCACCTAATGTAACCCATGGCACCAATTTATTTGAGATGATCAACATTAATTTATTTTTGGAGGGAGCCAACCATGGTCAATGGTCATTCACTTCTGCTGCATGATAAACCCTCCATGTATTATTCAATCGTACTAGATATTTTTCGCCATTGAGACGGACCAGATCTTCATTTTAACACAGAAAGTTTGCAAAAGCTGTTTTTAAAACTTTTTTCCATTAGACATGTTCTAGTTATTGGTTGTGCCGTTAGTCAAAACATTAGTCAGAATCCTTCCCGGCGACTTATTTAGCAATTAATAGAAAATTGGAGTTGTTTTCTATATAAAATGCATATATTTGTGTATATGTCATTTCAATGTCAAAGAAGATAGTTGTAAATCTTGAAAAAAAGTTGTTCCATGTAATTATACTATATGGTGAACAATGGCATTTTCATCACACGACACACCCTTGCAAAACTATGCTCCACGGCACAGGCTTAATTGCATCGTTGCTCCTCTAGATGACGACAGTCTTGCGGCTACACTACATTGATCATCTTGAGCTGCACGGGCGAAAGTTTGCATGGTTCATTTTAAGCGTGACATCATCGACCTTCCACATGTTATTGACATCATTTTATCATCGCATGCGCAAGTCCATATATTTGATGTTACCAAGCCACTGGTGATCCCATTAAACAATATTGGCGGTTCCGGACATCATAGGATGGAAGGCTGCCCCATTATCACCTCCAATGGCACAGTGCTAAAGATATACATGTCACTCTCCTTGCTCGATTTCAGGGCCACTATGTACCTACAAACAAACTAATACAAGATATATGTCACACCTTCACAATATTGTTGGTCAAATGGAATTTATTTATGCACTCAGAATGATAAGAAAAAGAATCTAGAAGATGGTATGGTGGCATGTACTCGGGGGCAAGTTACCTGTGTGTGCCAACTAGCCTGATTGTGGATGCATGGGTATCATTGTCTTGATTGAAAGTCTTGAGCAACCCAAAATCAACGACATTGGCCTCGAAGTTATCATTCAGTAGGATATGTGAGACGCCTTCTGCATGAAGGTTGAGCCACGGGATTTGTGTGCAGATATTCGAGCCCTAAATGCACATCACCCCACATTTGGTGATGAACACGTTATTCAAATTACCAACATGTAAATGTTAATTTATGGAGAAACTATGAGATTTTTCCCGATGGTAATTTCACTCAATCGTTTTCGTCAAGGTGACATAATTGTACTAACTGCAAACCTGGCTTATGCATAACTAGATGCACATAGTCCAACACATACAAAATAGATGGAAAAAGGCGACATGGTTTGACAAAGGAAGAAAAGAAAAGGCTAGGGTGATGGAAGACCAATCCGTGGACTAAATTGCCATCTATGCTTGGTAAAAAAACTCATTGGATATATGCTCCAACCGAGTAGATGATGGATCCAAAATCTAGCTGTCTATTGGACCAATTTTCTTAAGGTTTCTCCTATGAACTTGTCCTTATTGAATAATATATCTCAAACTAATGCCATTTTAGCATAAGTGCATATGTTGTCATTTACATGGCATGTATTAAAACTTCGCCAAAAAAATATAAGAAAAAAATGCCGAGAATTTCGACGCAGAAGAGGAAAGCCGCCCGAAGGAGGTCACTTGGGCCGACCACGGGGCCCACACACCATCTGGACGCACCGTAACCCTAAGGTGTGTGGGTCCCACATGCCCCTAGCTCCCATCTTCTGACTTAGACCATATGTCCTAAAGATGACAAGGGAATTTTGGTAGATTTTAATTTTCTTGACTTGCATGTCCACCGCCATCGTCAACCTTCATTTATTGGCCTTTCTGAAGTCTAATTTCTTCTCTGAGATGGGAGTGTCATCACCATCAACACCATCACACTCTTCTCCATCACCTACATCATGTTTCCCCCATCCATGTGTAATCCATTGTAGGCATATGAGATGGATGATAACTGAGTGATGTCAGTCATGTAGTAGTGTCCAGATGTTCAAGGTTTTGATCCCTGGTATGATGATTGTTCTTGATCTAATGTTTCCATGACTTTGCTATGCTTAATCCTTATTACTAGGTAGGGACCGAGTAATATAATATCATATATGAATCATATATGTTTTCATAATGTAAGTGCATATAGTGCCCCCTAGTGGGTTTTGGATGATTAATGACCAAACAATTACGGAACTAATATGTGAGTATACACAGGTAGAAGTCCCTGAGGATTTGGTTTAACATGAGAGTTATGACCCCTAAAAATTATGGTAATAATGAATATCTTCGGAATACCAGTTCGAGGAACAATCAGCTCGCTGCGAGGAATATGAAGCATAGTGAAGACTTTGATTTTTCTAGTTCCTTCTTCTTTTAAGGCATAGGGCAAACCGTACTATTAAGGGGGTCTAAGTGAAAGTTAAGATTTAGGTATTTGGTGTGTGGTCAATCCAAACCTATTTCTTTGAGTGAAGACTTTGACATCTCTTTGATGTGTTTTTGCTTCTCTTAGGTGTCTGTGATGATGTTCTTCGAGACATCGTAAGTGAAAGTCCTCAGAAAAGAGTCAAATGACTTGTTCTGCAAGACAATCTATTGTTTGCATTTTGAAATCCGATCGTTTCGCCACATGTTGCATGTATGTTGGCTGTCCGGTGCCTCCAACGGTCGTATCATCCGTCGGGATTGATCCCGACTATAAATAGCCACCAGACTTCAACCTTTGATGGTTGGTTGCTCCATAAGAGAATTCACAAGAGTTTGTCCGGGCAATTCATCATCTTGAAAGGATTGTGAGAATCCTAACAGAGGAAAAAAAACAGAGCCTAAAAACTATTAAGTGATGGAGCATCACTGTTTAACTAGTCAAAGCTTATAAAATAGTTTAGAGCATCAAAGAGTAATAGGTTGAATCTCCAAAGTAGACGTAGAGTTGTGCCAGTAATTGTGGACTATCTACCTCAAGAAGTAGGACCGAGCACGCCATGAATGTTCTGTATCCGCAAGCAATCAACCAGCCTATTAGCAATGGAGCGAGCCTTGCGGCAACGACGCGAAACAAGGGCAAACACACATGGCGCGATTGAGTGCCCGTCGAGCCACCGATCGATCCAGAAGAGGCAAGTATGCACATCACTAAGTGCGGCGTATGCGCCCATGGTAGCCTCGCGGTGTTACGGTTGATCTAGCTATTAGGCTCAACCATAACACCGCAAGGCTATGGTGGGTGTACCGCGTACCTGCCAAACATCTTTCGGCAGTTGTCGCGGAATGTCATGTCAGATCATATAGTGCACTATACTCACACAAATCAATCACTGGCATGACCTTGTCTTTCCCCAACCTGGCACCCCCTTTTCATTAATTGCTCAACGGAAATAATCACTGGCACGACATGTTCACCGTAATCATCTACGCACACCCCTATTCCATAGAAATCAAATGAACAGGTCAGGAAAAAGTCTGCAGTCAGCTGATCCTCCCGAGCTGGGCGTATGCAAGTCAACTCATAACCCATGTGATATGCCTCAACTGGTTAAGCTTCCCATATGAACTCATTAAGTGGGCAAACTTCTCAAATGAGCTCATTAGTCATTACCATGTGGTGTTAGAATAACTAATCTCCCACTCCCAACTAATCCGCCCAGCGGTAGACGACTTACGTGCTACTATATGCTCGATGGTGTCTATCCCAATGAACTTCCCGACTTGCTAAGTTCTAGCTAGTGTAACTAGCTGCTGGCACACATGTGCCATTGATCAGTTGGGACGACCAGCACCGAGAGCAAGAAAGAACAATGGTGGCCCGGTGGCTGCTACAGCTAGTGCTTCTTCTTGGCCTCGCCGGCGTTCTTCAGGTCCATGGCCAGGTCGACAAGTTAGCCAGTGAGTTCCTTATTCTCTCGCTTTTGTTGAGTTGTACACATTTTCACTTCCCGGCCGGACAGAACACTCACTAGGCCACTCGCCATATATGCACGAATCAACTCCGTAACTGCTTGTTGCGTGTGCTCACATGCATATATGCAGGTTTCATAACCATAGACTGTGGCCTGCCGGAGAATTCCCCCGGCTACATGGACAACGTCACCAAGCTCCGGGCAACCGGGGACGCCGGCTTCACCAACACCGGCACCAACCACAACATCTCCACCGAGTACATCACCCCGACGATGGGCTGGACTTGGCACACCGTGCGCAGCTTCCCCACCGGCGTGCGCAACTGCTACACGATCCGTCCAGTAGGATCGGCCGGGCCCAACTACCTCATACGCGCCTTCTTCATGTACGGAAACTACGACGGGCTCAATAGTCTGCCCATCTTCGACATTTACCTCGGCGTCAACTACTGGAAGACTGTGAACATCACTGCCACTGACATGCCATTGATCGTGGAGGTCATCGCCTACGTTTATGGCGGCATTGTGCAGGTATGCCTCGTGAACACTGACTCCGGGACGCCGTTCATCACCAGCCTGGGCCTGAGGCCCCTCAAGACGACGCTCTACCCGCAAGTCAACGCGACGCAGGGGCTTGTTCTTATCACCAGGTCCAGCTTTGGCACTAATAAGACTGTGAGGTAAGGAAATATATGAGCAGGCTACAATTTTCCAAAGTCCAACATATATCCAATCAAGCATGCACGCATCTTAAATTAATTTTGCAAAAATAGCACGTAGGGTCACCTAGCTACGACTTTCCCATGGCGCACATGCATGCAGGTACCCCGACGATGCCTACGACCGGGTATGGCTCCCATGGACCAAGCCGCATCCGGACGAGTGGCTGGAGATCTCAACGGCCGAGAACGTGGAAGATAACCTCGAAAGCTTCGAGGTGCCCTCCGCCGTGATGCGCACCGCCGTCACGTCCGCCAACGCCTCCTCCCCCGTCCGCTTCTCGTGGGACGCGGTGCGGAACGCCAACTACCACGTCCCCGGGTACTCCTGGATGCTCTACTTCGCGGAGCTGCAGAAGGACGCCGTGCGCGGGTTCTACATCACCACCAACGGCGAGCTCTCGTACCCGCACGTCATGACGCCGGCGTACCTGGCAACCGACGCCGTCTTCCAGCGCAAACCTGTCCATGGCTTCGACCGGTACGAGATCTCGCTGAACGCCACCGCGAACTCGACGCTCCCTCCGATCATCAACGCCGTCGAGGTCTTCTCGGTCCTCCCCACCACCGGCGTACCCACGGCCCCTCAGGATGGTAACCGGCTATTACTTTCAGATACATACATATGGGATCATGAAGCTAGCTAGCCAGCAAATGAATTTCAGCAGCTGATTTAGGTCGCTTATAATAACTTTAATTTGTGTGTTGCTACTGAGAAATGCAACAGTTTCTGCCGTCACGGCGGTCAGAGACAAGTACCGGGTGAAGAAGAACTGGATGGGGGATCCCTGCGCGCCGAGGAAATTTGCGTGGGATGGATTGAGTTGCGACTACGCTGTCTCCGGACCACCAACTGTCAAAGGCTTGTGAGTTAATTATCTCGAAGAAGAAATGGTCCCGCAAATTCTGGAATTATTATCTGAACTGTTGTATACATACACTGCAGGAATCTGTCTTCAATGGGTCTGAGTGGCAATATCTCGTCTTCTTTTGGGGACCTCAAAGGTTTACAATACTTGTAAGGAGATTATCAAACCATTCCATACTAGATGTTTTTTTGTAGTAGGTAACTAAGTTATTTATCCCTAAACTTATTTACATTTGGCAGGGATTTGTCTCGCAACAATCTCACCGGCTCCATTCCTGACACCCTTTCACGATTGTCATCGCTCACACTTCTGTCAGTAACTAATCTCTCATATATTTTTAGCTTTTTACCACTACATATTTCCTTTGTGTATAAACTGATGTTGCCAAACTTCTGCAACTTTGACTTTTAACATATGAAAAGGCATTCAAATTGATTGGGTGATAACAAATTATATGATTGAATTTGTAACAAAATATACTTTCAGGATACTCTAAGTTTTTTTTTCTTTTACTAACATCTTCATATGAGGATTATCAGACATAAATACATATCAGAGACTCGTGACGTTTTAGCTTTGTCCTGAATTAACGTTATATGACTATAGCATTTTTCATATTCATCTCCCAATACATATTTATCATTTGTTTTGACGTGCAACACTATTTTGTTTCATTTTCTCGCTTATTATTTGACAGGAAAATACACTATCAGTGATAGTACGTACTAGGACACTATCTTGACTTCTTTTCCCTTCTTCTAGTGATTTGACAGGAAACCGGCTTACAGGAGAAATTCCTTCCATGCTTCTGAAAAGAAGCCAAGATGGCTTCCTAACTCTGAGGTCAGTGCCCCACTAGCATCTGGATTTCTGCAATTATTCTCGACATGGTTTTCACTTTCTTAGCTGAAGGTACGCATGCATGCTGTTCAGAGTATGGATGTAGCTTCTCATTCTTTGTATTGCTAGATATGAAAACAACCCGGACATCTGCAGCAACGGCAATTCTTGCGTGCCTCCAAAGAAGAAGAGCAATTCGATGGTTCCTGTCTATGTTGCTATTCCAATAGTTGCAGTACTCGTGATTGTGTTGCTTTTAGTGCTGCTCATGTGCATGCGAAGGAGAAGGCAAGGTGAGAGACTTGCCTGAAACATAGAAGTTTATATCTCTGAATGTAAGTATGAAATGATTAAGGGACCTTAGTTTGCGTGATTGGTTTCTTAAGGAACAGCAAGCAACAGCATCAAGCCGCAGAATGAGACGCGCTTTACCCCGTCGCACTCTTGGAATAGAAACAAAGACAGCTCACTGCAACTGAACAATCAGCGATTCACGTACGAGGAAATAAAGGTCATAACGAACAACTTCCAGCGAGTGATCGGCCAAGGAGGGTTTGGTAAAGTCTATGATGGATTCTTGGAGAATGGCACCCAGGTGGCTGTCAAGCTTCGGTCTGAGTCATCAGCTCAAGGTGTACAAGAGTTCCTGGTCGAGGTAAGATTTGCTCAAGTATATGCTGTAGGAAATCATGCAAGTTTTCTTCTCGATTTGGTAATGCATTGATCTTTGTTGGTTCAGGCTCAGACGTTAGCTAAGATTCATCACAAAAATCTTGTAACCATGATTGGCTACTGCAACGATAGAGAGCACCTAGCCCTCGTGTACGAGTACATGTCCGAAGGGGCCCTACATGAACATCTGAGAGGTATGTAAATTGCCCGAGTGTGCACACTTGAAGAACATTGGTATGTTGTCAATTAAGAATATCAAAAGACCCAAGGACCCAGAGAATTGTAGGAATATCTACCAAATATATTATTCATGCGACGATCTTTTTGCAGGCAGACACTACGACACAACATTAACCTGGGCACAGAGACTTCGTATTGCACAGGAATCCGCACAAGGTAGGCTGTTAAATTCAGATTTTTCTTCATGACATTTCACTTGGAAGCTAGAAAGCTCAGACTGTGTGTGTGTGTGGTGTTGGATGTGGCCATCCTAGCTATGCAAACGCCGGGTGTATGCTCATTGTGTTTTGTATCACCTTGATGCTTCACTAAATGCCCTTTTTCAAAAAAATGGCTGGATGATTATCTCATGTCTGTGCACGCAGGGCTTGAGTATCTACACAAGGGCTGCAATCCACCCCTCATCCATAGGGATGTGAAGACATCAAACATCTTGCTAAATGCGAACCTTGAGGCCAAGATTGCGGATTTTGGCCTACTCAAGGCATTCAATTGCGATGATGATACCCATGTGTCCACAGCCAGGTTGGTTGGCACGCATGGTTACATTGCCCCTGAGTAAGTGCGCCATTCTAAATTCTTGCTTATAATGCTATAATATCATCTTGCCACTTATTAATAGCAGAAGTACTATACTTTATTTAGTTGTCCAAAGGTAGCATAATTCATATATTACATGATGTACCTTATCTTCTAGGATCGATGATCATGACCTGATCCTTTCGATTAGGAAGTTATCCTACACGTTATTCATTTATAGGAGATGTGCAAAACTTTTCTTGGCGAAGTTAAACTCACAATGCTTTTCACACTTTTATAGGTACCTAACAACATTGCAGCTGACTAATAAGACTGATGTGTATAGTTTTGGAGTAGTGTTGCTGGAAATAATCACGGGCCAACCTCGCATCTTGAATAATCCGGAACCTTCAAGCATCACCAAGTGGGTCCAGGAACGGCTTTCCCAGGGAAACATAGAGGGCGTGGTGGATGCGCGCATGCATGGAGAGCACGACATCAACAGCGTGTGGAAAGCAGCGGGCATTGCTCTCAAGTGTACTGAGCAGACACCAGCGCAACGGCCAACAATGACCGAGGTGGTGTTACAGCTGCAAGAGTGCCTCGAGCTTGAGACTGTGCGCTGCAGCGGTGGCAGCACGAATCCTAAGTTTTACATGACGAGTGGCAGCGACTCGTTCTCAAGTTATAATCGATACGCCGCTAACCAGTCTGCTAGTGTGAGTCATAGCAATGATGTATTTGAGGTGGAGCGTTTAGGCAGGGTTCCAACCATGACTACTGGTCCTGTCGCCAGGTGAGGAGAGGACAAGTACAATGAGTTATTTCCTTCTCTCTATTGCAGGGTTTTGTTTTACTTGGAGAACAACAAAAATTGATGATGCATCATCCAGGAAAGAGCAAATATGTACTGTTACGTGTATCCTTCTACAGTGTATCTTGTCTTAAAATGAAGAGTGAATTCTACTTTTTACCCTGTAGTTGTACATTTTGTGACACATATTACCCCATTTAGTGAATCTTCTATCGAAATACAGTATCAGATTTTGGTGACTCTTAATATGGTTTTATGCCAGTTTTGCATTTTGCTTGTTTATGTTACATACGATAGGCATGTTGCGTCAATGATTAATAAAAAATGTGTAAAGATCGTAATGTCTAGACTTCTCTTTTCCATCTGTTTCATTCCTCGTCGTCATTCAGATATTTTTGGACCCCGGGCAGCACCTCACACCTTGCCTAATGGACACGCATCAGAAACTGAGGATCTAAAGCTTCTAAAAGGGGTATTCTAGATGAATTTCCACTCGACGGGGTAATTAGTGTCAGAAATGCATATCTAGGGGTTAAAATGTGTAATTCACTCTAAAATGAATGCAATCAATTTTTAGAATTTTGGCCACTATTGTAACATGATGTGCAAATGCTGACTTGTCATAAAACACCGTCATCTTATTATGACTAGTAGAACGCCCGAGCGTTGCTACGTGATACAATGCATATAAATGAACAAACAAATGATTAAGATCGTCCCCAAGGTCGAAGCTCATTTCTTTAGGCTCCCTCAAATTCAGCCCATATGTGAAAGAGAAATGTGGTTATTTGTACTATCCATGCTTTCCTCCCAACTGATCTACTACATCACCCCACTCATTCTCCCCCGAGCACCACATGCCCTTCTAGCAACCACTCTCAACTACCACGATGTCTTCCTCCCATCTCTCTAGCAACCACCACATGTCCTTTAGAAGATATATGTTCTCCTTCATCTCTACTTTTACATAATAATCACATGCAAGAGAAGAGGTATGTACTCATCATGAACCGCATTAGAAGATACACTTAATTGTATCCGAGAAACAATTAGAGAATAATTCCGGCCAGTAGATACTTAAACTGGAGTCGGCTCAACAACATTAATTTTCCCACCAATTGATACTGAAACTGGAGTCGACTCAACAACAAAAAGAGTATCTAGAGCTTGATCGAATATTTTGACCATAAATATACAATTCAATGTCTCATTTTATTCATCTACCCCTTGACTCCGCCATGGTGCATGCTCCTCAGCTCCTCCATCTGCTGGCTCGGCTAACGACTTTCGTCGTTGCCTCCACCGGCTGTGACCAGATCAAGATTTTTAATATTCCGACATTTTGACACATGACTAAGGAAATAGGATGAAGTAAAAATAAATGGACCTTTCAATGTCTTTAATAGATAGATTCAACTATACAAAAAGGGGCAGCAATTTACCAAACACGTTGTAAAAAAATACATTTGCACTTGTCATTTGTGCAAGTATATCTCCATGGTAAGTAAGTGTAGATCAGAAGCACAAGGTCTCTAAATCTGTTGTCAGGGACAAATCGCCCAGTAAACAACAGTTTTATGAAGAGAAAATTGTGAATATGAAACTGCAACTATTGCACCAAATAGGATAATTTATAAATTATGATATTGTACAGGTCACGGGTTGTCTAGCTTCCTATTGCGCTAACATCTAATAAGTCAACTCCAAAAGCGCCTATCTGAGAATTGGCACTCCCTCATTGAAGCATATCTTTGCACTCTAATAACAGACTTGACATGGACCTTCTCAGTTAAATTATGGTGCATCTAATTGCATACCAAACTACAGTAAAAAATGCAAATTCAATTACTAGTTTACTACACAGAAAATGTCATGGAAATCCTGGCCCAAAATGTTTTCAGTTCAAAAACATGAATGCTGATTAACTAACAATGTTTACTGTGACCAATCTGATTTGCTTATACCAAGGAAAAATATGTATTATATAGGAGAACAAAATTATACATTACTACTAACCAGAACACCTTTTTTTTTGCGGAAATACTAACCAGAACGCCTGTATAGGAAGAAGATCAGAAAATGCAAGTTATATATTGGTCATTGCCATAGCTGCAAGTGGATGAACTGTAAATATGTAAAACTCAAAAGGATGCACCTCCACACATTACTTACCTTGAATGATGGATATAATTTCACAAAAGGAGTCTCGCAGTATCACTAGTAGAAAAAGGGGCTTTCGTTCGGGCCTGGCCAGCCTATTAGTCCCGGTTCTGCCACGAACCGGGACCAATGGATGCATTCGTCCCGATTCGTGAGCCCAGGGGGCCGGCCGGGGCCTCGTGGGCATTGGTCGTCCCGGTTCGTCTGGGCCCATTTGTCCCGGTTCTTGGCACAAACCGGGTCCAATGGGCCTCGCTCCTGGCCCACAAACATTGGTCCCGGTTCTTGGCTCGAACCGGGACAGAAGGCTGGGCTTTAGTCCCGGTTCCAGCCACGAACCGGGACAAATGAGTTGCCTATATATACCCCATGGCCGGCGAGCAGATCACTCCACAGTGCTCTGTTTTTTGCTGGCCGGCAAGGAAGGGCATTTGGGTGCTCTAGCTCACCTCTTATGCATGTGAGGTGTTTGATGAAATGCCCGGGCCACACTAGTTAAGTTTTCTTCTCTCGAAGCTCGACCTCCGAGCTCCATTTTTTCCGAGATTTGTCTAGGTTTAGCGGTCCGTCACGCCCCGTCCTCGTCTTCACCGCCGTCGATGGCCCGCGCCGATCTCGTCGCCGGCACCACCGTGGTGAGCCTCTTGTTCTTATCTTCTTTCTGAAAGAAAGAAATCTTACTTTAGATGGATACTTGTCTAATTTTCTTACTTTTGACACACATAATTATATATAATGCACGCATATGAACCGGCAATGGATGTACGGTGACAGACACACCTCCGAGTATATTAAGGGCATGCGTAAATTTCTCAAAGTGGTTGAGGCAAACAAGCAGAATGGTTTTATGTGTTGTCCATGCCCTGATTGTGGGAATACGAGGTCTTACTCTGACAAGAAAATCCTTCACACCCACGTGCTTTATAAGGGTTTCATGCCACACTATAATGTTTGGACGAAGCACGGAGAAATAGGGGTTATGATGGAAGACAGCGAAGAAGAAGAGGACGATGACAACTATGTGCCCCCTGAATACAGTGATGCTGCAACGGGGGAAGCTGAAGATCAAGAGGAAGCTGAAAATCAAGAGGAACCAGACGATGTGCCCGATGATGATCTCCGCCAAGTCATTGTTGATGCAAGGGAAAGGTGCGAAAGTGAAAAGGAGAAGCTGAAGTTCGATCGCATGTTAGAGGATCAGAAAAAGGGTTGTACCCCAATTGCGAAGATGGCAACACAAAGCTCAGTACCGTACTGGAATTGTTGTAGTGGAAGGCACAGAATGTTGTGCCTGACAAAGGATTTGAGAAGCTACTGAAAATATTGAAGAAGAAGCTTCCAAAGGATAACGAATTTCCCGACAGTACATACATAGCAAAGAAGGTCGTATGCCCTCTAGGATTGGAGGTGGAGAAGATACATGCATGCCCTAATGACTGCATCCTCTACCGCGGTGCGTACAAGGATTTGAACGCATGCCCCGTATGTGGTGCATTGCGGTATAAGATCAGACGAGATGACCCTGGTGATGTTGAGGGCGAGCCCCGCGGGAAGAGGGTTCCTGCGAAGGTGATGTGGTATGCTCCTATAATACCACGGTTGAAACGACTGTTCAGAAACGAAGAGCATGTCAAGTTGATGCGATGGCACAGTGAGGACCGTAAGAAAGACGGGAAGTTGAGAGCACCCGCTGACGGGTCGCAGTGGAGAAAAATCGAGAGAAAGTACTGGCTCAGTTTGCAAGTGACCCAAGGAACATATGGTTTGCTTTAAGCGCGGGTAGCATTAATCCTTTCGGGGAGCAGAGCAGAAATCACAGCACCTGGCTCGTGACTCCAGGTATGTATAACCTTCCTCCTTGGATGTGCATGAAGCGGAAGTTCATTATGATGCCAATTCTCATCCAAGGCCCTAAACAACCCGGCAATGACATTGATGTGTACCTAAGGCCATTAGTCGAAGAACTTTTACAGCTGTGGAATGGAAACGGTGTACGTGCGTGGGATGAGCACAAACAGCAGGAATTTAACCTGCATGCGTTGCTGTTTGTAACCATCAACGATTGGCCCGCTCTCAGTAACCTTTCAGGACAAACAAACAGGGGATACCACGCATGCACGCGCTGTTTAGCTGACACCGAAAGTATATATCTGGACAGATGCAGGAAGAATGTGTATCTGGTCCATCGTCGATTTCTCCCGACCAACCATCAATGTCGAAAGAAAGGCAAGCATTTCCAAGGCCAGGCAGATCACCGGAAGAAGCCCACCATGTGTACCGGTGATCACGTACTTGATATGGTCTCTGATTTACACGTAATATTTGAAAAGGGTCCCAACGGACTAGCTGTTTCGAATGACGCTGAGGGATGCGCACCCATGTGGAAGAAGAAATCTATATTTTGGGACCTACCCTACCGGAAATAGCTAGAGGTACGCTCTTCAATCGACGTGATGCACGTGACAAAAAACCTTTGCGTGAACCTGTTAGGCTTCTTGGGCGTGTATGGGAAGACAAAAGATACACCTGAGGCACAGGAGGACCTGCAACGTTTGCACGAAAAAGACGGCATGCCTCCAAAGCAGTATGAAGGTCCTGCCAGCTACGCTCTTACCAAAGAAGAGAAGGAAATCTTTTTTGAATGCCTGCTCAGTATGAAGGTCCCGACTGGCTTCTCGTTGAATATAAAGGGAATAATAAATATTCCAGAGAAAAAGTTCCAGAACCTAAAGTCTCATGGCTGCCACGTGATTATGACACAACTGCTTCTGGTTGCATTAAAGGGGCTTCTACCGAAAAACGTCTGATTAGCCATTGTGAAGCTAT